TCTATTTATTATCAGATAGAGTGGGAGGGAGGGAGAGAGAAAGACAGAAACATCAGCTGGTTGCCTCCCACACAGCCTGACCAGGGCTGGGGATTAACGAAACTGAAGTACGTGCCCTTGACCGGAATCGAACCCATGACTCATTGGTCCTCAGGCTGACGCTCTAACTGCTGAGCCAAACTGGCCCGGGCAACATTCTTTTTTTTTTTTTTTTTTTTTTTTTTTTTTTTTTAATCCTCACCCGAGGACATTTTTCCATTTTTTGTTCAGATAGAGCGGGAGGTAGAGAGAGGTAGAGAGAGAGAGAGAAACATCAACGTGAAGGGACACATCGAGTGGCTGCCATCCGCACGACCAACCAGGGCCGGGGACAAACTGCATCCGAGGTACGTGCCCTTAGCGGGAACCGAACCCGGGTCTCTCTGTACCGCAGGCCGACGTTCCAACTGCTGAGCCAAACCGGCCAGGGCCGGGCAACATTCTTTATATGATTAAATCTATACCCTTGTTGCAGTGAAACAGCACCAGGTATTAGACCAGTAGAGTCTGACCAGACCTTGATTTAGCAACCTCAGTACTTGAGTTCTGTCTGGTTAGGAAAGAATTCAGAGCCAAGACTCAAACTACAAGAGAACATTTATTTAGAAAGTCACAGAAGTAGAAGAAATGGGCTCAGGAAGCAAGTTACCGAGGCAAAAACAGGGTCCTTGGAGCTTAGGAGAAAGATGCAAGGAAAACGAGCTTGCGGGAAGGGGGAGGGGAAAGGCAGTGCTCCATGGAGAGAGCCAGACTGGGTCCCGTCTTAGGATGTTTATCTGGAGGTCTCATGGGAGGATCCCAATAGAATATTCATCCGTTTTCCAGGTGTGCCTCCTCAGGGTCATGGTATCTACTGACTGGTGGGCACCAGGGCAGGGTGTCATTACTCAATGCAGCTGGTCCTGAGGTCAGCCATGGTGTCACTAGTCTGGTTTTGCTGCTTTTCTGAGCCTGGAACTGAAACTCAACTGAGGCCTTGATGTATTTGATGTTAGGACCTCATTGTCCCAAGGGCTTAATGCTTAAGGGCTCTTCGCCAGCCCCTTGTTTGTTCGCTCTCTAAGGAGGTCTAACCCACAGGACAAGCAACACACCAGGGGAGGAAAGGTCGGGGGAGGGTCTGAACTGAATGACCAGTGATATGAAAGGTCAGGGGGTCTGACCACATGACCAGCAATATGCTAGGGGAGGAAAGGTTACCCTGGGGGTGAGGTCCTTATTTTCCCAGTTTTTCCCACTGCTAGGCACCCAGGGCTTTCCACCCTGGTGACCTTCTAGCCTGGCCCATCTTGCTCTGCTCTTGTCTAACTGCCTACCACACCTTCATCATAAACTGTGTATATAAGTATAAGGCTGGACTAGGTTTGTGTTTCCTGCTTACTTAAGAAGTACCTGGCCCTGGCCGGTTTGGCTCAGCGGTAGAGCGTCCACCTCAGACCAAAGAGTCACGGGCTCGATTCTGGTCAAGGGCACGTACCTCGGTTGTGGTTCGGTCCCCGGCCCCAGTCGGGGCCATGTGGGAGGCAACCAATCAATGTGTTTCTCTCCCGACTCTCCCCTCTCCCCATCTGAAGATAAGTGGAAAAATGTATCCTCAGGTGAGGATTTTTTAAAAAGTAAAATAAAAAAATAAAGAATTACCTGGGGAGGCATTAAAACTAATATTTCAGAGCAATTCCATATATCCATTACCCAATTTCTTTCAATGATAATATCTTATAAAACTGTAGTACAATATCACAACCAAAACATTAACATCAATACAATCAAGAACATTTCCATTGTTGGGGAGAAAAAATTTTCTGTACCCTTTAAGGTTCTTTTGGCCGGCCTAATAATCAAATTGACATGAGACACACTAGCAGGAGAAAAACAAGTTTAAGTTTAATAACTATGCTGCCTGGAATACCAGGAAAACTGAGTAACTAACCAAAATGGCAGAAGCCATCACCCTAAATACCACCTTCAGCTAAAGACAAAAGAAGATGTGAGGGTGGGGAGTAAGTTGTAGATGGTGACAGGAAAAGCCCAGTATACAAGGGTAGATTGTGACAGATTGAGGCCCATGCCTTCCCACTGATTGTGAAGGCAGGCTGTACAGTGAGGGAGACCCTTACCCGTGGAGATTTCCCTTACAAATGTGAATGTGCTTTACAGAGGGTAACTTCTACTTGGTTATTCAGAGCTGCTCTCGTCTGCTCTTTCTTAAAATTAACCAGCCTAAAATAACCAATATCCCAAAAGAGGCATATTTTAGGGTGGCAAACTCTTCTCCTTCACCATCAATCCAAACATCCCTCATGCCTTAGTCCGTTCAGGCTGCTGTAACCGCACCATAGACTGGGTGGCGTATACACAACAGACATTTACTTCTTAGTCTGGATGCTGGAAGTCCTAGATCAAGGTTCCAGCATAATCAGTTTCTAGTGAGGGTCCTTTTCCTGGTTCGTAGCTGGCACCTTCTCGGTGTCCTCCTGGTGGAAGAGACAAGGGTCCCTCTGGAGCCTCTTTGCTAAGGCACTAATGCCATTATGAGGATTTCACTTTCATGACCTTAGTACCTTCCAAACGCCCCACCCTTAATACCATCATATTTGGCAGTTAGTATTTCAACATAAAAATTTGGGGGGACATAAACATTCATTCATTCATTCATTTATTTATTTATTTATTATTTAATCCTCACCCGAGGACATTTTTCCATTTTTTGTTCAGATAGAGTGGGAGGGAGAGAGAGGAAGAGAGAGAGAGAGAGAGAAACATCGACGTGAAAGGGACACATCGAGTGGCTGCCACCCGCACGACCAACCAGGGCCAGTGACAAACTGCAACCGAGATACATGCCCTTAGCGGGAATCAAACCCGGGTCTCTCCAGAACGCAGGCCGATGCTCTAACCGCTGAGCCAAACCGGCCAGGGCAGGGGACATAAACATTTAAACATAGCACCTCACTCTGCCCTTCTGTTATCAGACTAAAGGAAGTGGTTATTTTTAGGAAGTGGCCCTCGCCCAGAGTTACAGGTGAGCTAATCCTCAAAGCCCTGGCTCCTCCATGGCTGCCAAGGATAAACTGTACGGGGGAATCATTAATCATGGTGACTAACGGAGGCCAGTGTAGTGATCTCTACCGATTGGTGGGTGCTAGGGTAGGAGGTCAGGGGTTTGTTGATCAGTACACCTGGTCCTGAGGTCAGCCATGGTGTCACTTCATCTGATTTCACTCTGCTTTTCTGGGCCTGGAACTAAGACACAACTGAACATTTGATGTTATCTCTAGTTTGACTGAAACTCTGTCTCTGGGGTCAACAGACACGTGGCTTTGTTCCTAAGGTAATTGATGGTGACCAGAACCTCATTGTCCTGAGGGCTCAGTGATTAAGGGAGTGGGTGTGCACGGAGAAGAAAGCAGGTGAGTCAGGATGGGGCCAGTTTGAATCAAAAGGCAAGAAAGGAGAAAAGATCATATTAAAGAAATGCAGTTTCTTCATGGTTACACTTCTATAGCCACACACATTTCCCTCCCATATGTATACCCTGCTATCCCACAGCCTTAATTCTTGACAAACACTAATCTGTTCTCCATATCTATAATTTTGTCATTTCATTAATGTTATATCGATGGAATCATATACAGATGCTTCTCAACTTATGATGGGGCTGCATCCTGGTAAACCCATTCTAAATTGAAAAGATTGTAAGTCGAAAATGCAGCTAATGCGTCTAACCTATCAAACACCATAGGTTAGCCCAGCCTACATTAAACATGCTCACAATATTCAAAAACCGCTGGCAACGTAGTACATTATAGAGTATCTGTTATTTCCCCTGGTGATCCCGGGGCTGACTGGGAGCTCACAACTGCAAGCCAGCATCATGAGAGAGTATCACACCGCATATTGCTAGCCTGGGAAAAGATAAACATTTAAAGTTTGAAGTAGGATTTCTATTGAATACTATTAATTTCACACCATTGTAAATTTTTTTAAAAAATGATCAATTGGAGACAGTCTGCAGTTTATAATCTTTTGGGATTGGCTTTTTCACTCGGCATAATTCTCTGGAGATTCATTAAGATGTTGCATGTATTAACAGTTTATTCCTTTTTGTTACTGAGTAGTATTCCATGCTATGGATGTAGCAAGGTTTAACCATTCACCTGTTAAAAGACATTTGGTTTGTTTCTAACTTGGGGTTCTTAAAGTTGTTATGAACATTCACGTACAAGTTTTTGTATGAACATAAGTTTTCATTTCTCTGGGATAAATGCCTAAGGGTACAATTGCTGGGTTGTTTGATAGTTGCGCGTTTAATTTTTTAGAAAAATGCCAAACTGTGTTTCAGAGTGGCTATATTATTTTACATTCCCACAGACAATGTATGAGTGATCCAGTTTCTGTGTCCTAGCCAGCATTTGGTGTTATCATTATTTTTTGTTTCAGCCATTCTGGTAGATGTATAGTGATATCTTATTGTGGTCTTGATTTGTATTTGCTTGATGATTAGTAATGTTTAACATCTTTTCATGTGCTTATTTGCCATCGGTATATTCTCTTGAAAAGAATGTGTATTCTGTTGTTGGATGGAGGGTTCTAAAATGCTAAATAAATCTGTCGGTTGAAGGTATTGTTGAGTTCCTCTGTATTTTTACTAGTTTTTTATTTAGTTCTATCAGTTGCTGAGAAAGGGGTGTTGACACCTCCAGCTATAATCATGGATTTGTCAGTTTCTTCTTTAAGTTCTATCAGTTTTTGCTTCACATATTTTGCATCTCTGGTGTTTGGTACATACACAGTTAAGATTGCCATGTCTTACTGGTAGATTGTCCTTTCTTCTTTACGTATGTCCCTCTCTGTCTCTAGTAATTTTCTTTGCTCTGAAGTCTGATATTTTCACTTATTTTTGATCCTCTGATTTGGGGTATCTTATACATGAAACTCTTTTTCCCCTCTTTTTTCTTTAGGAATATATCATTCGGGTGCAAAGAGGAATTTCTGTAGAAAACAGCTGGCAGGTAAGTATTTTACCATTATCATTAGAAAAGTTTTAAACTTTTAAATAAAATTCTGACTGTGGCATCTAAAAATCTAGAAAAATGGGAACATGCAAAATATAAATCATATTTCTTTTAGATATAAATCTTTAGCTTTAAGATGTATGTTATAAAAGGCATTTCCATTGCCAGTTATTTGGTTTAATTTGTGTATGCTGTTACCATGGAGAGTATCTAGGACTTTGTGCTCTGGGTAGACCCAGAGTAAGTAGGATAGGCAAATTACTTGGTTTGTTCCTAGTAATTCAGACCTCATCCTGTGCAGCCTTGGTTCGGGTAGGGGAAGTTACAGTTCAGTCCACCAGGTGGAAAGGTGAGACAGTGCCCTAGACTTCATACAGTTTGGACACTGCATTTCAGGACTTCCAAGTTCACTCATGGGCAAGTTCTGGTGCTGGTTCCCTCACAGACCATAGGTGGGGCTCTGCTTCCCTTAGTGGTAGCCTCAGAGATAAAAAAAACTTCCTGCATAGATCCAGAGGTCCTTCCGGTTGACTTGCAGGGGGTGGCTGAATTCTGTATAGAGGCTATTTCTTTCCTGTTTCAGTAATTACAGTTACCTTCCTCATCTCCATCTTACCTTGTCCTTCACAGCCCAGCTTGAACCGTACCTCTGTTAAAGAACACAGGTCTCCCGGCTGGTGTGGCTCAGTAGATTGAGCATTGTCCCATGGACTGAGGTCCAGGTTCGATTCCCCATCAGGGCACATGCCCAGTGGGGGGTGTGCGGGAGGCAGGTGATCTCTGTCACATTGATGTTTGTCTCTCTCTCCCTTCCTCTCTCTCGAAAATATCATGAAAAACATTTTTTTTAAAAAAAGAACACAATTTCAACTGAGTAAATTTGAAGTCCTAATTGGCTTTATTAAATGATTTATGAATCAGGCATCCCATTTAGCAACTAGAGAGGTACTCTGATGAGTTATACAAAAAGGAAAGTTTTTTGTTTTTTAATCCTTACCTGAGGACATTTTTCTATTTACCTTCAGATAGAGTGGGAGAGAGAGAGAAACATGATGAGAGAAAGACACGTCGACTGGTTGCCTCCCACATGACCCCCTACTAGGACCAGGGACAAACCACAACCGAGGTATGTGCGCCCTTGACTGGAATCGAACCCGCGACTCTTTGATCCAAAAGCTGACGCTCTAACCACCGAGCCAAACCAGCCAGGGGAAAAAAAGAAAGTTTTCATAGGCAGAAAGAGGGTGGGACTAAGAAATTGAAAGAGTGGATTATTCCAGGCAAAGACACCTTTCCTTAGGGGAGGGCTGCAAGTCTTATCAGATAGATTATCTCACTGATGTTGATTAGACAATTCCAGACTAACTGGTTTAAAATTCCATTCCTGGGCCCAGGCTGGTTTGGCTCAGTTGGTTGGGCGTTGTCCCAGGTCATGGGTTCAATTCCCGGTCAGGGCACGTGCCTGGGCTCAATCCCAGTAGGAGGTGTACAGGAGGCAGCTGATTGATGTTTCTCCCTTTCTCTTCCTCTCTCTCTAAAATCAATAAAAACATATTTTTTTTTTTAAAAAAAATTCCATTCCTGGGAGAGGCTGTAATTGCAATTAGGTTAGTTATTAAGTTTTGGTTTGGTGACCAGGCTTAGCAAAAGTGGCTCTATTTTGTTTTGTTTTGTTTTAATCTTCACCCCAGGATATTTTTCCATTTATCTTCAGATAGAGTGGGATGTGGGGGGGAGGCACAGAGAGAGAAACATCAATATGAGAGACATACATCGATTGGTTGCCTCCCGCATGACCCTGACCAGGGCCGGGTCCAAACTGCAACCCAGTTACTGGCCCTTGATCGGAATCAAACCTGAGACTCTTTGGTCCTCAGGCTAATGCTCTAACCGCTGAGCTAAACCGGCCAGGGCTCCCTCCCCTCCCCTCCCCTCCCCTTCCCTTCCCTTCCCTTTCTTTCCTTTTCTCCCTTCCTTCCTTCCAACACCTCTCACCCTAAGCAGTCTTTGACTGCAGTGGCCCATCTTTGGTCTTTCCTTTGCCTGAAATTTCAAACTACTGTCTGTTTGAATAATTATAATATTTAACATCTATTGAGCATTTATTGTTAGGCACTGGTTGAGGTGCAGTAATTCATTTAACCCTTTAAAAAGAGTTTTATATACCCTGGCTGGGTGGCTCAGTTGTTTGGAGCATCGTCCCATACACTAAAAGACTGCGGGTTTGATTCCCAGTCAGGGCATATTCCTAGGTTGCAGGCTTGATCCCCAGTTGGGGCGCATATGGGAGGCAACTGATGTTTCTCTCTCACATTCATATTTCTCACGCTCTCTCTTTTCCCTTCTTTCTGTCTAAAATCAAGAAACATTTTGACAAGCAGGGCCAACAGCAGTGTTCTACCAGAAAAACCAGCCCTTGATGGTTTTCTAGATTCATTAGAATCCCAGGAGATAAGTAACAAAAATGTAGACTCTTGGGCCCCACCCTAGACTTATGGAGTCAGATTCTCAGTGGTGGGGTCCTAGGTGATCTCCAGGTAATTCTGCACATTAGTATTTGAGAATCATCAACAATGGTTGAAGTCAAACTATTCAAAAGTAAAATAATTTCTTACCCAGAGCCTGAAGAGCTAGTAGAAGTTGGCAATGGCCTAATCCAGCGATTTTCAACCAGTGTGCTGCAAGAATTTTTAAAACATGCAGTACCTGACTATTTAGTCAAGGGCACTGACCTCTGACAACAGCCAACACAACAATAGCCATCCAGTGTGAATGAATCAAAACTATACCTTTTTTTTGTTGTTGTTGTTGTTTTTGCCAGATCAGCAAAAAATATAATATGTTTTTTGGTGTGCTGCAGAATTTTGGTAATTAGTTTGTGTGTGCAATGGGATGAAAAAGGTTGAAAATCGCTGGCCTAATCAATGGCATCAACATAACTAAGAAAGAATGTCTAGGCAATGGAAGGTGGACTGTCTGCCAAAAGGGGAACTGGGAATCAGGGGGCGGGTGGGCTGTCTGCCTGCAGGTGCGGACCAGTCTCCAGAGGGGTGGGGCCTCAGCTGGGGAAAGTTTATCTAGTCAAGGATGAAATGGCCTCAAAACTGGCAACCCCCTTTTACTTTGATTTTATGTTCAGTAAAACTTTTTTTTTTTTTTTTTGGTAAAGCATTAAGTCATCTTCCAGGTGTCTGATTAATAAGAAAGATATATAAATGGAGATTTACCTTTAAAAAAAAATGTCATCACTCTCTCTTACCTGTTAGCATCTTGTGAGTTTGGCTGGTGTTAACCAGCTTCCTGTGGCCCAGCCAACTCTGGCTCACTGGTAGGTCTGTTTTCTGGGCCTGTCAAGTTAAGCAAGCTAAGGACCAGGTATAAGCCCTCCTATCCTTAGTGCAAGTGCCTTGGCTCTAGAATGCCAATAAATATTAAATTAGGAAATGGGAAGAGATGGTCTTTGCTGAATTAAAACACCACTGTCTTGTCTCTTACAGATTGTTAGGAGATACAGTGACTTTGATTTGCTGAACAACAGCTTGCAGGTAAATATTTTAAAACACGAATGATACACACGGCTTGCTGGGGGTGTCTTAGAAACCAGTTGGAAATGGCACTAATGAGAACAAGAAATTAGCAAATTTCCCTGGCAAAGGGAACAGCTGATGTGTTGCTCTAAGTATGAACTTTTGGGGACAAACATGTGAGTTACAGTAGTGACCCTGCAACCATGTATCTTTGTGCCCTGCTGCATCCTCACCGCAGTCATGGGATGGGTATCCTCTCCTCTTTCCAGGTCAGGAATGAGGAGGTGGGTTGCTAGAGCTGCTCACTTCAGTGGAGCTGGAACTCTCTCAGATGCTTCCCACCAAATGAGGCTGCATAGTCAGCACTGCAGATCAGTGTTCCGCAGTAACTAGAAATTTTTTTGGTGTAACTTGTTCTCTTAATACATGTTTCTAAATCCCTTTGACTTAAATGTTCCGAATGTGGTGGCCATAATGGAAAGAGGGATGAACTGCAAAGTCTTTTTCTGGAAACACAGCCAGTACTGGCAATGACTGAGGGGTCCTTAGAGGGGCTTTAGTACTATGGGAAATAGTGGCAATTGGTAGATTGGTCTTCAAGTGCCATGGATCACTGAAGACCACTGGGCTTTGTCATAGTTCAGATTTGATTGGTCATACAAAACCCTTGAAACCTGAGCCAGAGCACTTGGCTTCTTCCCAGCTCAGCTGGGAAGTGAAGGACCCCTCCCTTCATTGGTGAGCTAGCCATTGTCACTTAGTCTGAGTGACCTCTGGTCCTGTCCATAAAGGACAGGAGGACTGCTGTCTGGGAGGGAGCATAATGCTTCATTTCCATCAAAAGGCCATGTTTTATTGACCAGACTTTGGAAAAGAACATTTGTAGAGTCCACACATAACATTATTTACAACACTGCTAAAAGTACAACTGTCTTGTTTTCTTTACATTAGAATTGGCCTAAGTATCTGCAAACCTTATGTAATTGCCATATGGCCATGCATTTGTCATATGCTTTTATTTATTTTTTTGTTTTATTTTGTTTTTAATCCTCACCCGAGGACAATTTTGCATTCATCTTCAGACAGAACAAGAGAGAGAGAGGGAGGGAGAGAGAAACATCCATGTGAGAGAGACACATCTACTGGCTGCCACCCACATGACCCCAACCAGGGCCGGGGACAAACTGCAACCAAGGTACATGCCCTTAGCGGAAAGTGAACCCAGGTCTCTCTGGATCGCAGGCCGACGCTCTAACCGCTGAGCCAAACCGGCCAGGGCCATATGCTGTCTTTTAAAATATTAATTATAGTGTCACCAATTTAAATCTCCAGATAGAATATTGGCAGAGATTGAATTCTCCTCATAGATGGGTTTAGTTGGTTTCATATATGGATTTTAATAGCATATCCTTTACTCTAAGACAAAAGCTGGGCCTGTGATGACCTTGTAGACAAGGCACCAATGTGCAGTTCGTTCCAGCCATGGATAGTCCCCACAGTCCCCCCAGACAGTTCCACAGTGGGGTGAGCATTTGAGAGTTAACATCGAGCCTACTGTGTGTTTTCACCTATATTCGCAAGTGAACCTTTGCCCAGTTTTAAAGAAGGAGTCATCATCTTTGTGAAATATTTTTCAACCAGGGCTGAGTAGGAATAGTGGGAGAAATATTTCTCAAATTGAAATTGCCCAGCCCCTAAGAATGGTGGTGGGGAAGAGGGTTTTATCTCCTATTTGTTCTTACTTTGGGGATATAAAGTTGAATCTCTGTGACTATTTAATTATGGCCTTTTTAATATCATAGAATTTTATTTTTTGCTTCAGTGTAATTTTTCCTTTTAAAATGGGAACTTTCAATGTGCATCTTATTTCAAATGCAAATGTGTATTGATGTTGGCTTGTGTTGGGCAGGATATGGCCAGACATCATTTCAAGTGGGAGGTGTTTCTGGATCCAAGTAAACAAACAGGAGAAAGTACATACAGCTTTTTGGCAACAAAATAATTTCAAAGCAGCCTCTATAAAACAGACCAAAAGTATTCCAAAACCACAGAATAATACTCTGACCATGATTTTCAGTGTCTGATTACCCTTCTGACAGATAATGAGTTCCTGCTGAAGAAAGAGAAATATAATACACATATTCAGAGTTGTCTTGAGTTCAACAGGAAAAATGCCTGAGTGGAAAAAAACAAGATGTAAAATTATACATGCAACATAATATAATTACATGAAATGTTTAGGAAAAAAGACTGGAAGGACATATGCCAAAATGTTAACAATGGTGAACCAAGGTGGTAGGATTATGAGTTATGTTTTTTTCTGATTCTTTATACTGTTCTGTATTTCCCAAGTTCTCTACAAACAAGCACATGTAAGCTATATAAACAAAAGAAAGAAAGACAAAAGCTGCACTCCCCTACTTTTTATAGTGAGCATATTTTGAGGAAATAAGGGAAGAAAAATCACCACCTTATTTGAAAGGCAACATCAAATTAGTGATCATTGAGGACAGCGATTTTCAACCAGTGTGTCACAAGAATTTTTTAAAAATATGTTTTTATTGATTTTTTTAGGGAGAGAGGAAGGGAAGAGAGATAGAAACATCAATGCATGAGAGAAACATTGATAAGCTGCCTCCTGCACACCCCCCACTGGGGATTGAGCCTGTAACCCTGGCATGTGCTCTGATCTGGAATTGAACTGGGATCTCTCAGTCTGTGGGACAATGCTCAATTCACTGAGCCATACTGGCCAGGCAAGAATATTTATTTATTTATTTATTTGATTTTAGAAAGAGAGGAAGGGAGAGGGAGAGAGAGATAGAAACATCGACAAGAGAGAACATCGATTGGCCGTCTCCTGCATGCCTTCACGGGGATCGGGCCCACAACCTGGGCATGTGCCCTGACTGGGAATCGAACCGGTAACCTCTTGGTGCATGGATCGATGCTCACCCACTGAGCCACACCGGCCAGGCACAAGAATATTTGAGAGAGAGGAAGGGAGAGAGAGAGAAACATTAGTTGGTTATCTCCTACAAGCCCCCGACTGGGGATTGAACCTTCAACTCGGGCATGTGCCCTGACCAGCAATCACACTGGGGACCTTTCAGCACACAGGATGACACTCTAACATCTGAGCCACACCGGCCAGGGCTCCATAAGAATTTTCAAAACATGCCTCACCCAGCCAGTGTGGCTCGGTGGATTGAACGTTGTCCCTTGGCCTGAGAGGTCCCAGTTTGATTCCTGTTCAGGGCACATGCCTGGGTTGTGGGCTCTATCCCTGGTAGGGGGTTGGTGTGTAGGAGGCAGCAGATAGATGTTTCTCTCGCATCGATGTTTCTATCTCTCTCTCTCTAAAAAAATCAATAAAAATGTATTTTAAATTTTTTTTCTCACCCTGGCTGGTTTGGCTCAGCGGTTAGAGCATCGGCCTGCGGTCCAGAGAGACCTGGGTTTGGTTGCCGCTAAGGGCACATACCTCGGTTGCTGTTTGTCCCTGACCCTGGTTGGGTCATGCGGTGGCAACCACTTAATGTGTGCCTTTCATGTCGATGTTGTGCTCTCTCTCTCTCTCTCTCTGTGTCTCTCTCTTCTTCCCACTCTATCTGAACAAAAAATGGAAAAATGTCCTCGAGTGAGGATAAAAATAATGTTTTTTCTTTATTGATTTGAGAAAGAGAGAAAGAGAGAGGGAGAGAGAGATAGAAACATCGATGAGAGAGAACATCAATTGGTTGCCTCCTGCATGCTCCCCACTCTGGGTTGGGCCCACCACCTGTACATGTGTCCTGACTGGGAATCGAACCGGCGACCTCTTGGTGCATGGGTTGACGCTCAACCACTGAGCCACACTGGTTGGGCACTATAAAAATGTATTTAAGCCCTGGCTGGTTTGGCTCAGTGGTTAGAGCATCAACCTGTGGACCAGAGAGTCCCGGGTTCGGTTCCCACTGAGGGCACGTACCTCGGTTGCAGTTTGTCACCGTCCCGGTAGGGGTCTTGTGGGTGGCAACCAGTCAATGTGTCTGTCTCACATCAATGTTTCTCTCTCTTCCCCCCTCTCCCTCCCGCTCTATCTGAAGATAAATGCAAAAAAAAAAAAAAAATGTCCTCGGGTGAGAATTTAAAAAAAAAAAGTATTTAAAAATAAATAAATAAAAATAAAACATGCTTTACTTGACTAGTCAGGGTCACCGACCTCTTTTTTTCTTACATTGTCAAATTTAAAAATTACAACAGCCAACACAATAATAGCTGTCTGATGTGAACGAATCAAAATTATTATACCTATTCTTTTTTGTCAGATTGGCAACAAATATATTTTTTGGTGTGCCACAGAATTTTAGTAATTAGTTTATGTATGCCATGAGAGGAAAAGGTTTGAAAATCACTGATCTAGAGAGACAGCATACAAGAAGGAACAAGTAGGAAGCAGGAGTTGAAATGATAGGAACTAGGTAGGGAACCCTTAGCCTTGGGAAGGAATCCAGGCTCTGCCCTTTACCACCTTGGGTTAGTTATTTTCCTCTGTGGCTTCTCACTTTCCCCATCTGAACCAAAGGGTTGAACCAGATGACTTCTCAGGTCTGTTGGAGCACAAAGGTTTTGTTTTTTGAACTTTACTGCTCATTGTTGACATAGGAGAGACTGTTATATGAGACTCTGTTGTATATACTGCAGGGAAATTGGGAGAAATTAAGGCTCTGTTGAGAGTTTAGAATTCCCTAGAATATTTGCTGGAATATGGTTGAAGGCAGTGTGTAGATTTTTCAGATCTGATACCGGAAGTGAGAGATGAACAGATTCAGAGATGAAGGTTTTCCCTCCAGACAAAAGCTAGTTTCCTTGAAACTGTGATATAGTTTGTTACATAATTTAGAGGTTTCTACTAGGCTAGCATGGGGCAGATTATGGGCTTTAGACCCCATTTTGTGAACATCTTCCCTTTGCATTGTCTCTCTGCAGGTGCTATGAATGGAATTTGAGGGACTTCTCTGCTGGCTTTCTTGTTC